TTGGCCTATCAAAATTCGGAGAGACGCTCCCGCTATCGCGGATCGGCCTCTCCCCCCTCGGTTGTCGACTCCGGGCCTCAGATCCCCTATCGGGGACGGCAGCAGGCCTCGGGCTCCTATTCCTACCCGCATCCCTATTGGGGGAAATAGAAACGTCCCCCCTTGCGCGCGCGCGGGGACCACCCCTTGCACGCTCCGGTGGCGAATGCGACCTGTCAGGCAACCCCCGAACTCTCCTGCTCCTGCTGTCGGACCTCTCCCTAACGGGATAGATGGGATGCCTGTCTGCGCGAGAAGGATCGACCCTATCGGGCACATTCGGCAAAACATGATCAGGCAAAACAACGCCTTCGCCTGGTCTCACCGGCAGGCCAGTACCCCGGCCGTCACCTTCCCCTGGTGTAGGCGTCGGTGACCTGATCCTATGTCCTTGCCCCGCAAACGCATGGTAACCAACATTCCGTCTTTCTCTGGGTTGTGGAGGAGCTTCATTAATCTGCTGGACACCCTGAAGCATGCCAGCAGCCTCGTCAAATTGACCCTCCATCTCAAAGAGCTGGGACATGATTCTGTTGTTCGCGGCGCTAAGGTTACGCACGTTACCATCGATAGCGCTGACTCTCCGCATAACACCTTCAAGTGTACTCCGGAATGTGCCGAGCTCTCGCCTAACGGCAGGCTGCACTTGGTCACTGCTGGCAGGAAGATTACGGATCTGCCCTTGGATGCCATCAACGACCCGATTCACAATTGCCGATCTCGCTTCATACTGTTCAACATGTGACTTCACGGTTTCAAACCTCGAAATGATGTCATCATGATCCCGACGTTGACGTTGAATTCCTCGAGCCAGATCATGCATCTTCCGATTGATCTCGTCAACAGCCTCATGCCAGTCCTGCGGGGAATCATGCCCTGATGGTCTATCGACCTCCTGAGATCCCCTTCCACTTTGCAGTCTAGACACTCGATTAACAAGACGAGTGTGCTCTTCTTTGACCCCTTCCATAGATTCAGAGGCCCACTTAGCAAACTTCTCGTGTTCAAGGAGAGCATCCCCAATCTTCAGGTTTAACTCCCTGAAATTCGCGTCAACTACACTGCTGCTGGCCCTATCGGACAGATTCGCGACAGGATTCGGGTTCCATACACCTGCCGGTGTCCGCATCCCAACGGTTTTCTCTACCGAGAACATCCGTTTCTCAAGCTTGTCCAAATCCTTAAGGGTCTCGTCCTCAGAAGCAGCATGGCTTCTGCGGGCAGCCTCACTATTTTCCTGAATCATCAGGCGAAGCCGATCAGTCGATGCCTCATTGTCCCTGACAGATTCATGGACCTCGTGGGACAGTAGGTTAATCCTCTGCTCCACGACCTCGGCTTGCTCATCGATGGCTTGCCTCACAATGGCCTTGCTATCGGGAATAACTTCCCTCGCGAACCGTTGAACTATCATTCGCATCCTCCCGGCATCAGATTGGGTCGCAACCTCAGCTGCCAAGCGATCGACCTTGTCCTTTGTCCGTTGACTCTCGTCGCTCCATTCCCTTCGCATGGAACTCACCTGACCGTTCAGTACCCTGATTTGGTCAGCAAAGATGTGGAACGCCTTCGCGACTGAGCCGGAAACCTCACCTCTCTCGAGCATCTCCTGGATGTGCAAATCGAACACCTCCTTCGCCCTAGCGTCAGCTGATTCGCCGGAAGACTGAGATCTGAGGGCGGGAGGAGTCGATATCTCGATCCTCTCAGGAGCCCCACTAGCCCCGGCATGTCTTCCGGGGTCATCCACAGGACAATCATCAATCCTGGATGGTCTACTCGGGGTAGATCCCCTTCTCCGGCTATCGCCAGATCGAGGATCAATGTTGGATGCACGTGACTCGGGGGTGGAGTGGATGTGAACATCAGCGGGATCGGGCATCTCCTCATCCTGCGGAGTTGAATCCATTGGTGAGGGGCTAGCCCTCCTCGCCTTTGACCTATCGGTCTCAGCGGCGAGAGGTGGCGGTCTCTTTGCAGAAACACTACGTTCCCTGGCAGTCGAACCCCATTGAGGTGTGAACTCGTTGCTTGACCTCAGAGTTTCAAGATCACTGGTATCTCGCCCTAACGGGCTAGCGATCGACGGACGATCTTCGATCCCGAGTGCATCGGCAAGCCGACCATCTCTGGCACCTGTCCCAACAACATCGGCAGCCCGCTCAGTGATCCTCGGTGAACCAGTAACCCGGTTCGAGCTCACGTCTCTCTGACTCAACGGACCTCCAAATGTGATGTTGGGAAAGGGGGGAACATTCGGGGAATCACCAATAGCCGGGGGACCTACCGGTCCCTCGCGGTCATGAATGGCCTCCAATCCCCGAAGAACTTCCCGACTTTCCCTGGCTCTCTCTCTCTCGCTTCTGGCGTCCCTGTCAACACGAAGGTCCCTGACGGCTCCACGAGAGAGGCTCCTGGGCCTCGCAGCATCACGGATCCTAGCATTTCGTCGTGGTTGGTCCTCCTCCTCATCACGGCGATCCGCAAACGCGGCATACTCATCATCATCATCGACCTCAAACTTGGCAGCGGCGGGATTAGTCCTTGCAGTCTCACGGCTGCCTGCATCTCGGCGCGAATGGCTCTCCTCCTCATCCGCAAAATTGTAATCTTCGCCATCATAAGACTCAGATTTGGCAGTATTAGGGTTGGGCCTACCGGCATCAGACCCCTGCTTTGAGCTACTGCCCCAACCTGCGGTTGATCTCAACAGATCATCGTATCCGAAGTCCGTGAATTTCCGCTCCTCGTGCTCATCAAACTGACCTGGATTCTGAGAACCAGTGGATCGGCCCGGGATACCTCCCGGAACCAGAACCATAGTTCCTGGTCCCTGCGGCCTACTCTCAAACTCATCCGAGACCTGCGACTCACCTGGAACAAGAGATCTCGGAGGTCGAATCGGCATGGCCTCCGGGTCATCCGAATGAGGGCGGGCCATGTCCATCGCCATGCTGGTGAAGTCAAAATGTCCACGCCTGTGACCTGATTCAGAGCCACTCCTACCGGAGTAAACCCTTCGTGTCCGCTCGTCATCAGTGGCCTGGCGGAAAATACGATCGTCTCCATCGTCGGCGTACCTGCCACGGCCCCTGGGTGTATCCCTACCGGGATCTTCACCCCTGCGGTCCTGACCTGTCGAACCTGCTTCGAAATCCTCGTAGTCATAGTCCGGCAGGTCCTCACCTGAGCGGAGGCCACCTAGGATGGCCTCCTCATCCACGACGCTCCTTCGAGATCGTGGGGTCGACATAGAGCTTGTAGTTGATGGTCTCAAGCGCGTAGGAAAGTCCTACGGCTGATAACCTGTGATTCGGGCACGAGCCTGTGCCCAGGCAATGGGTAAGTTGGGGTAAACAAGCCACAAAAGAAAGGTTCCCCAAAAGCAAACCAATCCCCGGTCCCAAAGATCAGGGTTTCCCACACACCAGAGAACAACAACCAAAAGGGAAACAAACCAAACAAGAAAAGGGTTAACCCGCAACCTTGGTCGACAACAGGCCGCACGACTGGTCCCTACCAACCTGGCGGCGGCCCGAGGTCTCTTTCTCCCCCGAGATGCCGTCGGTCGACGCAGGGGTTCGGCGACGCCCATTCGAGGCGCGACGGAACCCAAAACTTGAGCCTTGAGCCAAACACCACAGGTCAGTCACTACCGCGACATCCCTGGTGATGAAATAAACCATGGCTAATCACATTCAGGAAACAAACAATTAACGCTTTGCCCCGCATCATCTTGTGGCACGCATCTGCAAAAAAATCAGAGGGATCCCTGCGACTCAGAGTGGCCATGAGCAGCCTTTCCCTTCAGGTTGCTTGACTAGGTCCTCTAGATTTGAGAGCTTAGAATGAGGGTACCAACTTTGTTTTGGTTGTCTATTCTAGGGAACCCGAAACCACAAAAAAGGGGAGAGAAGGGCACCTGGCTGGGGGGCCTAGTTAAAGGGACGCCCTACAAACAGTTGTCTGGGATCCCCATGTCAGCCAAAGTTCGCATCCCGGAATCCCTGGGGCGATGCTCCAAAAAAGCGGGCTTTGTGCAGGGGGGGGGAGGGGGGGGAGGGCGTTTTTCGACTCCTTAACTGGCAACGCTTAAGTGGTTTGGATGGTTTGAACCCATTAAACTCACTTCATGAGCGGGAAACAGTCCGAACTTCTTATATACCACTAACTCTGTCTTCCCATAATGCATCAAGTCCGGAAATGGGGCTTCCCAGCCACCGACCCGACCCGGATCGATCCTCTTTCTGGGAATTTCGACCAGCTTGCGCTGGCCAAGAACTGGAGGCATACCCACACGTCTTCCGTGGAACCCACCACGCAACCCCTAGGAAAATGGTTTTGCAGGACCCCCCCATAAGGCTCCTTCGTGGATGGGAGGGTACCTTGCCTTCGTGTTCATCAAAATCAGAGTCGTTGGAAACCCACAAAAAAACACACAAACAAAAAAAACACTCAACGCGTTGAAGTTGGTGAGGTTCGGCTGTGGTTTCAACCACTTGCCTACCCGAACCCTGTCAATTTCCAACCCAAACTTCCATATGCTCAAGCCCTCTAGAAAAAAAAGCAGCAAACGCAAACATTGTCCTATAGTGATACACTCGCTGAGACTCGCTTTAAAGCAAACCAGCGGGGAAAAACAACACCCTCCCACCAATTAACATGGAACCTGACGTTCGGGGGTCCTTGCGTCAGGTTCCATGTTAGTGGGTGAAGGGCATTGATTTGGCCATGGGGCAAAATCCAAGTCGTACCCCCAGTGACCATCCCAATCCCCACTAAAATAGGTTCTAAACTGGGTGGTGGATTCACCTGCCAACCAAAATGGGATGCCCATTATTTTGACCCACAGCCATTTATGAGTTTTTGTCTTTTCTGTCATGCTCAGGTTGCATTGCCAATTGGTCTCACGGGGATCCCATTTGACCCACAGCCGTTTCTGCAAATTGAAGCAGCCCAGCCTGGCTGAAATGGTCGCAGTCCGCCCAGGAAATGGCCTCGGCTCGGGCCCGGGGGCCCCAGGTGGGGAGTCATGCCCACCCCCGCCGACTAACATGGAAGTGCACAAAACCCCTGTACTCACCTGCTGGGTGGATGGCCCAGAAAAAGTCCAAACTTTATATTTACCATTAAAATTGTCTTCCCAAAAAGCTTAAAGTTCATGAACTGAGGAAGTGAGTGTAAGACTGCTTTCCTCTTGGAAAGTGGGTCTGTGCACTGCCATGTTGGTCGGTGGGGGGGGGGGGGGGTAACGTATTTACCATAAAAGCGCCCACACCAACGGAAGCCCACTCAAATTCGCCAAACTGGTGATGATTGAATCCATCAGAAAAGACTTGCAGGCACGGCTTCCTGCGTCAGTGAACGGACCTGTCCGCTTTTCTCTTCCACGCACTGCGCTGCTCATTGGATCGAGTCTTTGGCCTGCATTGGCGCGCAGCTTGCGGGGCTTGCACCGTTCGTGCCTGAACATTGCCAAAGACTGAAACAAACGAAAACGGATATAGGTCAAAATAGAAAAGGCCCCAAAAGCATAGGTCACAAACATGTTGGCTTTCCAATTGATCTCCCGTCAAAAGAAAGTACAAACAAGTACCCCCTGCCTGTGTCCCTCTCAATTCTTCCTACTACATAATGCTATCTGGTCAAGGGGAACTGATCTCTTGTAAAGGGCGATTTAGAGCTTCAATGACCCAGAATCTAAACTTTTCCTGATGCCGGGACTCTCAAATTCTCGTCCTGGGCCTTCGCACCCCTCTCTCCACTCTGGTCGTTGCTGGAGGGCTCCTTTTTGTTCTCTCCTTTCAAAAAAGAAAATCCCGCCTGAGGCATCCCCAGCTAAGGCAAAACTTAGGTTTGTCTCCCGGATGAAGCTTGACAAGCTTGGCCTGCGCGGCAAGCCCAGCTCTATCCTAGGCGGTCTTTTGCAGCTGCAGGCTATCTTTGCCCGCCTTGCAGCCTCGATCTGAACGGGGCGGGCCCCTTGCGAGGACCCTTCGTGCTTCGTGCGCACATCGATTCTCTCGGCTTGCCTTCTCCATGTGTGGGTCGCACATGCGAATGCAATAATCGTGGCAAGCATCCTGCAATCAGATGCTGCGGGGGAAGGGGGAAACACCTGTAGACTGAGCGAGTCCTCCGCAAAACTTGCTGGTGCGATGGGCAGGGAGTGAGGGAATGAACGGTATAAACCATCCCCTATGGCTTATTCCATTTCTCATTCCCTACCTAGTGCACCGATCGCAAGAAAACCAGTCAGCTTCTAGCGCATGTGGCCAGAGCTCCAGAGCTCCACCTTAGCCTCGGATCCTTGTGGCGACAACTTCTTTTGACCTTCGAAACCTTAGCCCAGGAAAACGGGCGGATGCCTCCATGCCTCTCACTTGCCCAAGGGACCCACACATAAAAAAGGTGATCACTTGTTGGTGCTGTGAATGCACAAATTCCTGCCCACCCAAGAAACAATGGGGAACCATATTTTGTTGGCATTTACGGGGGAATCATCATTCCCAAGGTTTCTTAGGTGGTGCGTTGGATGGATTTCGCATCCATCCACAGTTTTGACTACAAATGGATCGAAAGTGGAAAACCAAAAGGTCAACAAAGGTCGATGTAGGGCACCCACAAGGAACAAGCAGAACCTCAGGGCGCCTTCTTTGAGGGGCGGGGAAAAGGGGGGGGGGGGCTCCTCTATAGTTTCATGTGTGGCTGTGGTTCCAGGAATGAAATGCAAGTGGGTGGTTTCTTTTGTGAGGGTACCGTTTGTGGATGGGTTAACCAAAAGGAAACCACCCATTTTGGGGGTTCCAGTACTCACTTCCTGGTTGCAGTGGCCAACGCTACCAAAACCGGCCAACAAAAAAGTCACTTGGTTGCTTTCTGCTCCCTAACATCCCTTGGCAAAATGCACCAAAGAACACTAGGTCCTCCAGTAGAGAGGCTCGAATAAGGGTACCAACTTTTTCCTGTAGTCTATATTGGGGGAACCCAAAACCAACCAAAAAGGGGAGAGCAGGGCACCTAGCTGGGGGACCTAGTTGGTGAACCCAAAACCACGTAGAGAATTCCCGAGGCGGAATTTCCGCACCTGTTTTTCGGCAAGGTGAACCGAAAACCATTCCACTTTTGCTTCATCACTAGCGTGGCAACCAATCCCAAGTGACCCACCGGTCCGAAACGGAGCTCAGGGAGTGAGAGGATCTTCCATTGCCGTGTTTGCCCCCTGGTGAAAAAGCGACGCAATTTTTCCAGAAGCGAAAGCGATTCCCTTTAGAACCAAGAAGGGAAAATAACTGGAAAATATAAGCATGCTTCGAGTAGTGCTAGATTCCTTTTAAAACCACTAAGGGATTATAATAGAAACATATTCTGAACCAAATAGGCGTGATTTTTCAAAGATCGCAAGGCCGTCTCGCCGCTTCGGCGGCTCAGGGTCCGGGCTCCGGGATGTCCGGGATTCGGACCGGCTCCCCAATCCCCCAAGAAGGTGACTCACTTCCTGAGCGGCCCGAAAACCTCCAAAACTTCTTGTTTGCCACCTTGGTACAGCAGGGATCCTTACATTATACACCTGAACATTGCCTTGTGAATTGCGGTTTCCCTTTATTTTGGTGGAAAAAGCCACATGTTTCAAATGGTTGCAAAATGAATTTCTTTTAAGGAGCCCTGTACACTTGTCAAAGGTTTGAAGTCCATTAACTCAGGGAGTGAGGTGAATAGACAGAACCCAATCTGGCATGTCCAAACCGGACCGTGATATGATTGGCCATGCATCGTTTTCCCGGGTCTGGTGCAAACATGCTTACAGAGTGGCATGCGCCCACTGTGTGTTGTTCAGAGCGTTTGCAAGTGCGCGTGCCACATTGCGGCTCACCGGTTTCCCTACTTGCGACATCCAGGCCATCCACCCTCGCATGCATTTGTTCAGCTTACTCCGAACTTGTGGTCTCGCTCGGTGGTTTGGACCCTAAGGAGGTGCCTTCTCCAAAATGGGCTTCAGAAGAAAGCGGGGGTTCAATCTCCCAAGCCGCCAATCCAAAAATCCAAGCCGCCAAATAGGGGCTACCTGAATCTTGAAACCGTGGTTGGTTATGAAACAAGCAGGTAAATCAGGGCCATATATTTGCTACACCCTATCCAAATGCCACGGTTCGTCTCCTTTTCTAAGGTCCAAAAAGCGGGCCCTGGCGGAATGAGTCACGACCTCATCCTTTCAACATCACCCTACCAGAACAAAACTCCCTTGAGCAGCGATGGACACCCACTGACTTTTGGTTCTACCAACATGGTTATGAAGGTTGATTTTGGTCATACTGCAGCCCATATGAAACCAGGTCATGGCCAATGAGGAACCTAGGCGCTGACTTGAAATTCACCACCTCCCAAAGCCACGCAGGAAGCGAGCAAAAAGGGAGGGTGAAATCCACTGGGCAACCCGCAAAAGTTCCCTTTGGAGGAAGTTCCCTTTCAGGTTCCCGATGCCCAAGATTGCCAAATCCCATGTCCCTTTAAGGCATGCGCTTGGTGTATGTAGGTTTGTGACAAGATGGGAAATTCCTATTTGGGTTCCCTTTAAAGTGGTGTGCGTGTGGGTGCTGTGTTTTGTTCTTTTTGTTGTGCTGTGTTGTATGTGTGTGTGTGTGACGCATAGGGGGTGGCTTGTGGTCCTAGGCCAAATTCCATTGATCTAGTCTTCCCACAAAATGGCTCCCAAAAAAAGGAGATCTCCAGTCGAAATCCCTCCTCCCCAACCATTTCTTCACAACCTTGGGATGGGCTTGCAAACTTTTTGCAGCCGCCCAAAAATGAGCCAAACCAAAAAGACAAGAAACCAAATCAAAAGAAACAACTTGATCCAAGAACAGTGAAGACACAATACTTGTGGCTCGCTTGCCCAAAGCACCTGGAACAAACAGGTGGATCACCTCTCGATTTTTGGGGCCATCTACCAAACATTTGCCACAAAATCAACTAAAAATGGTCATTGATCAGGTCGGTTCACTTCGCTGTGGGCCTTCTTCCATTTGCTTAAGACCCCCGGCAAAAAATAACATATGTCCAATAGTGCTAAATTCCTTTTATAACCAACAAGGGAAAATCCAGCAAATATTCCTAAGCAAATGGAAGCCTTGGATTCGGATCCATCTCGCCCCTCGACCCCCTCGCCCGCCCCCTCGCCCGCCCCCTCGCCCTCAGCCGCTCTCAGCTCGCCTCAGTTCAGAGCGTTGAGCTCCAGGACCTTGGCCTTGCACCGCGCCGCGTCCAGGTCCTCCAGCGCGTCGAACACGGAGCCCCGCGCCCCGCCTAGCGGCTAAGCGACGCACCGGCGCCGAAGCAGCGACGGAGGCAGGCGGAGCGCGGTGCGGAGGCCGAGAATTTCGCGCCCTCACGGAGGGAAAGGAGTGGAAGCAGGTGGCTGTTTGGAGTTTATCTCGTGGGAAATCAGGGGATCCATGGCCTTTTTGGCAGGTACTTGGCTGAAAAAAGCTGGGAGCCATGGGCTTTTTTGCGTTTGCTTGCTAGAAAATAATGGGAACCGTGGCTGTAGAAAACGATGGGATCCATGGCTTTTCGAGGCTAACCATGTTTGGTGGTAGTTCCGCGGGAGCACTAAATGGAGCATTCGAAAGGCCGCACAAATCACCACATCGATCAATAATGCTGATTCTGAAATGGGAACTAAAGATTCATCAACCCCAATTTATCAATGGGGGGGGTCTCTGGGTGAAATGTGGGGAATCATCACTTGTGAAGGAACAAAAACCATATGAATAAGCAGGGGTTTATTAATCCGGGGGGAGTGTCTTGATCTTGTCACACCCATTCTTCCCTTGGGACCGGGGATCATTTGGGGCGGCAGAGGAAGCAACGCGAAATAACATGAATCTATAGGGGTACCTTCCCCATTCTTTCCAGGAATCCTTCTTTCAACAAAACCTCTAGAATCTCAGGGAAAACGGCTGGTTTTTGAAAAGAACGGGAGTGCCTGGCCGAAAGG